AGCGGCTCATATCATTACACGTGGTTTTCATACACCAGGAAAAATCCTTGTCGAAAAACTAAAATTACCTTTACTCTCCGTGCGTAGGAAGTATTTCCGACTAGTGTATTTTTTTAAAGTCCTTAACGGCTTATCACCCTTATCTCGCTTAAATGTTATACAGTTTGATGTGAGTAGAAGATCAGATCGTCTATTACAGCATAACAGACAAGTTTATATCCCATTGTGCGCACTAAAACTGTTCTAAAATCCTTTTAATATAGGACAGCTCGCAACTGGAACTCTCCCCCCAACACTGTAGTTATCTCGTCAACAATAAAATCTTTCAAAACCAAACTGAGGCAGCACCCACAACTGTAAAAGAAGAAGAAAAAAAAATAGGGCAGAAAGGTGGCAATTTTTATAGGTGTCAAAAAATTGCTTTCCTGGCAACATGTTTATGTATAGGTTAAATTTTTTTGTATTGTAAAACTAAAGTTTACTCTTTTCTGTACAAAACTGCTGTTATCGAAATAAAAATCAATCAATCAATCAACTATTTATTCAATTGCATCCCATTAAGCTCCCTTCGTACATACTGCGGACCTGACCATGAGTTACGAGTGTTTAAAATATCTGCAGTACTGTACCTAAGCACGAAAAAAGTGGCTAGCATAGCTCGATGCATCTAGATACACTTGATACAGTGAGAGATGCAGCTGACTGCATAGAAAAAAGCGAAAATTTGAACGAAGCATCGCTCACTGCAGTCATAGGTATTGTTAGATGTATCGGCTTCCACTAGATGCACTAGTAAATACATCTAGATATTTCTGTCGAGGAAGTTTTGCCTGAGTAGCAGTATCCAGTGAGCAGATCTTTTGTGCAACTCCTCCAACTAATCCGAAAAAGAGAGGCATAATATTTCTATACTGGAATCCTCGGTAGTTTCACTAAAAATTTACCTTAGTTTTAGCGCTGTTGATCATTGTGGTGACAGGAAGATTACTCTATGACTATATCTGATGGAGTCTTATCATTATAATGCGTTACTGCCATACTGTTGTTTGCTCAAACTTTAGTGGAAACTAACTTTGCCTGACGTCACAGAATATATGAATAGTTGCTTACGCAGTCGTTTTTGACTTGAAAAGCTATTTTTGTACTAGCTAGAGGAAATACACATTTTAGCCTTAAGGGGACGACGCGAACCAGCTTGTCTTGTGCTTGGCATAATCGGAATGCTTCATAATAATTTTAGTCTTTCCCGTATCGATTTCTTCAAAATCACATCTTTTCAATTGATCCTATGATGGCCGAATTACAGAATGGTAGAATCAGATTGGACTTAATAACAAGTTGTTTTGTTAAATAGAAAATCGCACATTAAAATTCGTCATCGTTCAGTTGAAGACCAAATGCGCTGATAGAAACAAGATACAGGTTTCAACTTGATACTCTATAAAGTTTATCACTATGGCGACAAGCTGTTTGGAGAAAGAGTACATCTTTTCTAATTACGCACGTATGCAGTACGGGCAGGATGTTTTTTAAATTTTTCATTATTTGATACCGCCTACTAATAAAAATTTGATTTAATAAGAACTTAGTCAGCGGTCGAATGAATTTAATGGGTTTACTCTCAGTTCGTCCCAAATTGCTCACTCTCACACCTGCCCACCCCTTTGATGTTGTTTGATCTTACAAAGCCAATTTGGGACGAACTGAGAGGACACCATTTAATGTATAATCATAACGAATATTCAGAATAAAGCAGAAAAACTGTAACAGGTGATTCATCAGACTACGAGTATAAAAATAATGATTAATAAAGCGTGCATCATAAGCGTACGTAGAACAGAAAGAAAAGTACTTGGTTATAAAAGGTGAAGATATATATATTTATAACATATAACATTTTTCGTCATTGATTTCATTTTCGTCTTAAAACAACGATGGTATCTATTTTCTCGTTACCGAGTAATGCTTCCGTTGCACTAAAATCAACACAAATTTATCCCCACCTGAATAATCATACAACGTTCCCACAACAACATGACCGTCGTCAATATGATACTTTGCAGTCCACCAATCCATCGTCAAGGTCTGAAAGTCCATCAACTCCATGGCTAAATCTCACTGATGTAAGACCAGCCGATATTCAATATGAGAAACCTCCTTCGTCAAATAATCCTGAAAACGATATGAGGCTATTCGATAAAATTCACGGCTCAATGATCGGGATGGCTATCGGCGATGCTTTAGGGGCACACGTTGAGTTTCGACCCCGAGCTTATCTTGAACAAAATCCTGTCAGTGACATGCAAGGTGGTGGAACGTGGGGATTAAAAGCTGGACAGTGGACCGATGATACATCCATGGCGCTCTGTTTGGCCGCGAGTCTCATTGTAAATAAAAATTTTAATTCTTATGATCAGCTCGTTCGATATAAATGGTGGTGGAGAAAAGGTTACATGTCGTCCATAGGAAAATGTTTCGATATTGGCAATGCAACAAAAGCATCGCTCGACGAATTTGTCAATCGACAACACAAATTTTGCGAATTATACAAAATTAAGGATTTCAAAGAGCTTGATCAGTTGTCTGATGATCTATCATCAAAATTCGACACGAACTGTAGTCGAGATAATGTCGATAGTAACGGCGCTCTGATGCGTTTAACACCGATTCCGCTGTTTTACTGTCAGTCTGAATCTGGTACATACGCTGTTCACTTTGCTGGCGAAAGTGCTCGTGTAACCCATGGTGGTCAGAAGGCTATTGATGCATGCCGCTTCTATGCCGCACTTATTTACGCTGCCGTACGAGGAAAACCAAAGAAAGAGCTATTAGATCCACAATTTTATAAACAATGTTTTCAGGCTGGATGGTTTGGTCAAAAGCAGTTACATCCTGATATTGTGCAAATCGCAGAAGGTTCATATCAAAAAAAAAATCGACCCGAAATAAAAGCCGGTGCCATGGCCGTTGAAGCATTAGAAGCGGCGTTATGGGCATTTTTTCATGATAATAATTCATTTCAAGTGGGAGTACTGAGCTGTGTTAATCTGGGTGATGATACAGACACAGTGGCCGCTATTTACGGTCAATTAGCCGGAGCATGCTATGGTGTTGAAAAGCTACCTCTAAATTGGATACAGCAAATATACGCAAAAAATTTCATTGCTAACATTTCTGATTGGCTTCGATTCGAAGGAGCTCAATGGTGGGAAAAGAAAAAGAACATGAGAGGCTCGACATAAACATTTAATTTATTTATGGGTAATACTTTTGTATTTCTAATTCTAATATGCACATATATATTTTATCTCTATTTCTCTATTTAATAGAATTGTGTAATATCTATATCTATATTTTTGTTTTTCTATTTAATAGAATTGTATATATCTATATTTTTCTTTCTCTAATGCAATATATGAATGTCATATTTTCACTTTTATTTTTCGATAAACATTTCTCTTGTTGTTACGTTTCTTCTCGTGATAATGAGAATTGTATTTAAAATGAATAAAATTTAAAACTAATTATAAATTACAATAATGAAAGTCAAACACGCTGCTATATGACTCGATATAAATCGCTCCACAACGATTAAGTTCAGTGGGATTTTCTGCACTGAAGAAGTGTACTTTATTGTTAACCTCATGAATGCCGTAGGACGTCTATAGATGGCATGAAGGAAATTTTATATGTTGCATATGCTTTTTCGTTCTATCGTTTTAACGAAAAAAAGTGCTAGAGGAACACATGTAACGAAAACAACAGAACGCAAAGAGAGATATTTAATTGTTTTTTACATATGCATGCCTTTGGACGCGGAAGAGGAAAAATAACGGCATTCAAGTGGTTAATATGTTCATATTTTAGATTGCTTTGACGCTTAATAAATAAATTTTATAAACTTGTTTTTAAGACAGAATGGAGTGATCCTCCAAGTGCGAGATACATTCGAAATAACTAGTTGAAACCAGCCGTTCAGTACAGTTTTGTGTCGTATAGTATATTTAAAAACAGGGAGAACAGATTGAAACACTAATAGAGTATCATGTAGAGTTCTATGTACATTAAGATTCTTACTCGGATCTGCACTGAAGTCTCCAGCTAGCAGCAGGAGTGAAGCAAGAAGAGTATGAGTTAAAAGTAAAAGCTAATATAATTTAATGAGTAAAAAGAAATGTGAGGCGGACTTGACGTTGCACGATGTACCATATTTTATGTAGGAGAGTTGGGATTGAACTTATGTTTTTCTTACTAACAAAAGAGTTATAGAATCACTCAAACTAAATGGATTTTGGTAACATAAAGTTATTCATGTTTGACAACTCTCGTTACGGTTACTTTTTTTTCTCTATGCCGCTCTGAAAGGTATTTCAGATTACTCAACAATATTGCAGAATATTAATACTATCTCACATATTTTCGAGCGTATGTCTTTGTTTTCCCTTTGGATATCATACATACATATTCCGGCAGAAATCTAAAAAAATGTCATAAGAATGAAAACTATGAGTGGGGTTTTTAACACGTATATCCATTTACTTTTCACATTAAACGTCTTTTTTTCTTTTTTCTGTTACTACGGAGTAACGATATACTATTGATCATGACCGTAACGTTAAGGACAAATATGCATAAGAACTAGTATAAATTGAGTTTCTTGATATCATTCTATGAGGATTCTTTTCTCTTGCTATTTTACAGAAGTAGTTATCTGTTCAATGAGTTTGCGAAGAAACATGAGGTAGTCTTGACTGAATCTACAAGATTATCCTAACTTTTAAGAATCTCGTCGTGAGGAATCAACAAAGAGTTTCAGTTAACAAAAAAATATATCATTGCATCAATTTTTACTAATTATCTGTTTCATCAAACCAGATGGTGTGTGCGTGCAAGTGTATACAGGCACACGTACACACTCACTCGTTTTGAACAAAGTCATAGTGTGGGATTGAAATGGTTTGCTTGTTTAATTATACACAACTAAATCGGTGACTATTCAGCCAAGGGCCTTTCCTGGATGAACAACAGACAATAGGTAAATTACTGATATTTAGGATCTTGACTGACTTTTATACAGATAATTTTATATCTATTACGAAAAAAATCAACAACTAGTGATCGTAAAACATAACGTGAGCTAATGTCATTTTATCATTAAAATATTTTTCTATACTTTTCTGTACCTACGCGTACGCGAATAAGGATAGGTTTTGTTCCCTATGGAAAAGAGAGGCGCATTTTTTCTTTTCATTCTATAGCAATAGAAATCAACACTATACAACTACGCAAATTTATTTCGTGAAGATAGAAACTTCACACCTGTATTAATCAAGATTGTAACACAAGCCTAGGTAATATAAGAACAAGGTACATGAATACATCATCATGTATAATCAGAAGTTCATTAGTATTACTGAATGACAGGCAACAGATTCACTTCAATGAGGCTATCAGTTATTGATTTCAAAATCAAATTAAGGTGACTAAATGAATGTTTTTCTTTTACATATCTTTTTCTATTCTCCTTTCACAAGTGCACTTTGCGTAAGAACATTAATTTCTCATTTAACTGCATTGTGCAGGAGTTGGCAGGAAGGAGTCCTTAAAAACTGTCACCATGGCTGGCATATTAGTCAATGAACTTTACTACTATCCATTTTAAAATATAGTGTGGGTGATTGCGACATGAATAACTTCAGAACGGAATGAGCTATCGGGCTCTCACCGTCGTGTAGCCAAAATCAGGGTACATAATAATATGCAGAAATCAAAACTGTTGTGTGGATCTCTGGAACATTTCCAAGCAGATCTCTGGAAAACCAGCTTATAACTTCCAAGTTTCAAATAGAAACTTATCAGTTTTTTTCCATATATGGATAGTCCAAGATGTCTTCTACAAAAAACAGATCCAAGCGACATCGCGAAAATCCATGGTTTGGGAGCTACAGGCGTTTCTCTTGAAGCCGTAAGACTCCTCTGGCGTTGAAGCTGTCAGAAATGAATGAAAACATAGATTGCTGGCTATGCTGAATCTTGCTACAACATTTGTTTTTTAAAATAGTTCCAAAAACCTAGTGAAAACGTATATTAGGTGAAATATCTCATTTTTGCCTATTTATGAGTAAAATTCAAAAATGTATAACTCGTGCAGTTCAATAGACGCTTAAAAATCGACAGAAAATACTCTGGTTTTTGAAAGGGTTTGCTAGATAGCTTCCGACGTACAAGAATATTTTTTACTACTCTTATGCGGTGTAGTAGGACAGACTGGTTCGATTTTGATCATAGCGTTGTTTGGGCAATCATAGCCTGGTTTATATTGATAACTAAGTCCAAGTGTGTTTCGTAGTAGTTTATTTCGAAAAATGAATTGTTAACTCCCACGGAATCGAGAGCTTATATAGTGTAGATATGGCGTAACTATTATGCAATAAATAATTACATAATAAGAAATGATTATGCAATAACAAATAACAACTGATTATGCAATAATAACTGATTACGCAATAACAGCTGCAGTCTTACATGATGTCTGAGGACAGCGAATCATGTAACAGCCAACAACTGTTGATGCTGAATATTGGTACGCCCATTTCATTTACATAATGTTTAAATTTTGGAAGTTGATCCCAATAATCATTTGGGCGGGAGAATTTGAATTTCGTTCGTGAACGATCACATGGATTTTGTGGTAGACGATCAAATGCAAGCTGATATGGAGTAAAGCCAGTACGATCGATGCTCGCCGCGGTTGTATGCATAGACAATGGACGGGAAATAAACATCACAATATTTCGATAACTGTGTAGCAAAAGTAGCATTAAAACGTTCCGTTTGACCATTAGTTTGAGGATGACATGGACTCGAAAGACGTGTTTGGAGCCAATTAGTGTTGATATAGCTACTATTAATTCGTTACTGAAATACTGTCCTTGATCCGTGATAATTTTGTCGGTAGCACCATGAACGAGAATAATATTTTCTATCAGAATTTGGGCGTGGTTTGTGCTGTGTTGTTAGAAGAAGCCTTTGCGATGACGTAGTCGGACAGTCGATCAGTTATGACTAAAACATATTTGTTGTCATCGGATGAGACAGGAGCTGGACATCACCAGTCAAGGCCAAGTATTTGAAATACTTCCGAAAGAGAATCGATCGGTTGTAATAGGCCAGGTGGTTTTTGACGCTGTATATTAAATTTTGCGCGCTCTGGACATGATCGAGTATAATTTTCAATAGAATCTCCCATGTTTAGCCAATAATATTTGTTCTTAATGTTTCTCAATGTACGTTTCACTCCAAAATGTCTAGCTAACGGATGATCATGATGAGTGAATAATAAATCTTTAATTAGTTCTTTTGGAATATAAGGTACACGTAGTTTTGTTTTCCCTCGAGATTAATAATTTAAATAGGACAGCATCCTTAATTGTAACTGAAGATTTTGACGGGTTTTGTTTGACCATGTTAGATATTTATATAATATCGGTGTCTTCCATTTGTTCTGATCTAATGCCATCTAGACTGAAGTCGAACAATGATGAAGAGGGATTTGCAGTTGTAGCTGGCGCTGATGGAAGAGGTGTATGAGTTGCCGTGGCGGTTGTCTGCGTCGGAGTTGGTGTTAATCGTTGAGTTTGTTGACGCGTAATGACGGCATTTAGTTCTGTGTGTGCGGACGTTATAGTTTAATTGCCCATGTTTCAGTTTCTTGCGGCCAATCGTGATGAGTGATGGGCTTTTTCGATGTCTAGGAGATTGGGGGTTCGAAAGGTAATCGGGACCGGTATTCTTATTACGAGGCAAGTGTTTTACTTCAGTAATTTGTGGAATAATATCTTGCAATTTAAATAGCCAATGCCTAACACGTTTATTGTCAATTTGATTGTATGGAAGTTGATCAATGGCTGACTGTCCGTTTCTATCGAAAAATATACAGTCGCCCATGTATTCTCGTAGTTGCTTTATATTATGCGTAAACATAAACATATTTTGAGTACATTGACTCTCGATCAGATATTTAAATCAGACAAACTGCATGTCAGAACATCAGAGAAGAACGAAAAAAGGCGTTTCATAATTTTTTGCATTCGCGTTTTTTCCTAGCTGCCATTCTGACAAACAAAAGAGTATTTATGGCTGTGTTAGCATTAGATCATAATGCTAGTAACTCTACATTTTAGCGTACAACAGAATACAAAGTCTCAAATCGGCTCGAAACTGTAATCTAAATCATGGTAGATGCATGCATTTTATCTTAGACTTCGAATATATAACATTCATATGTATGTCCTCGCTAGTATACGTAAATCAGTGCAAAATAATTTTCCTGTTGGGCAGGACAGAAAGCCAAAATCTTTTTTCATGGTTTATATAATAAATAAGAAAGAGATCATCAATCGTTTCTATCTTAATCTTATAATAAAGGTTAATTATAAAACACTATTGGCATGAAAAGGAAATGGGTTGGAGAGCCGTATAGAAATTTACACTTTTTATAGAATATTTTCGCCTCGGTAAATGGCCATTATCAACTTTCACTAGCAAAAGAAACGAACGGAACTGTGATTATCATTTGGTTTCAGCGTTATTGTATCGAAAATCAGCAAAAAAGAAACAAAGTTTTATCTGTTCTTTGACCACAATTGAAATACAAATTGTTTATATATGAAATTTTTACACTAGAGTAGAAATGAATCCAAAGGATTTAATTACTGATAACCAGAAGACTATTATTATCAGTATCTTCTTGTTGACTTTTATCACTACTGGCAGATTCATTATTACTCGTATTAGCACTGTCATCAGTGCCTCCTTGGGCCACACCATCGTGTTCTACCACGTCACCTAAAGATAGGTATGTTACGAGACCGAGATACCCGTTTTCTCATGTCTCGTACCCGGGTATAGTCTCGTAGTCTCGTGTCTCGTACCCGGGTATGGTCTCGTAGTCTCATGTCTCGTACCCGGGTATAGTCTCGTAGTCTCGTGTCTCGTACCCGGGTATAGTCTCGTGTTTCGTTAGTAGTCGTATAACAGACTAAAACCTGATACTATTTTATAATCATTTATTTTAATTCAATGCTTTCCATTTGTGACTAATAATCATACTTCTTGCTAGAACACATAGGTACTTTTCTATTCACTTTTCTTTAAGCAACCAAACCGAAACTTGATGCTTTTTCAGTTGCTGTTTGCTTTTGAAAAATTAGTTGCGTTTTAGTCTATTATACGGCTACTAACGAGACACGAGACTATACCCGGGTACGAGACACGAGACTACGAGACTATAACCGGGTACGAGAGCGAGTATACGAGAACCCCGGTCTCGCTCTCGGTCTCGTTACATACCTACCTGAAGGCACAAAATCGTATTGGATAACATCAGTTAATAGATCATCCATATCTTCTATCGTTTCTTCAGCTTCTTGTCACACACTCACAATGGGAAAACTACATCTCTGGTCAAAATAGTCACAACGGTCAAAGCCCTCAAACTGGTCAAAATCGTCGAACAGCATTAATTTTCTGCCAGTGTCGATCCTCAGTATTCTTTCTGGAAACTGTTTACATCTACCAACAACATGAATTAGTTTAAATGAGTAACGAGATAAACAATGAGTAACGTGTCACCTCGATCAAGCTTACCCGCGTTCTAGAAACTGATTTTCTCAAATTGTTTCTTTTAAATAATTTTACACATAATGTATTTATCAAAAAGTTTCCACGAGTAATGCTGGATTTTCCGAAAATTTTTTGTTGAACTACAGCGGTGAAAACCCTCAGGTTTAATTGAAATTCTACTCGTTTAGATATGGGTAATGGCACACTGACATGTGTACTATATGCGGTCATTACATATATTCAGCAAACGAACAGATTTGAATAACTAGCAGCACAGTATTACTCCTTTTCTCTTATGACGTCCATACTATTCTCGTCGCCAGGCCTGTCTACCTCCGTCATTTTATTTTCACTGTCCTACTTATATTTCATTTTGTCACTATGTTAGCCAACTGTTTTCACCTGTATTATTGCTTGGTCTACAATGGTCATTTGACCGCTGGCCTTTTTATTAAGAATCAATAAAGATATAACCCAGTCCTACTTGCTCGTAGAAAAATTTCCTGATATGTCTAGCGGAAAGCGCATGGCTTCAAACCGCTAAGCGCCCATGTTCAGCGAAATGGGTCTACCTACGCACGAGGAATGTTGCGCACAGAAATCTTACTCCCCAAAATGTTACGGACGGGCGCTTGCACACGAAATTTATTGAAAAAACGGTGAGAACAAAACACTTTATTTCACTTTATTCGAAGTTTCCTTTTAAAAATAAAAAGAATGCTTTAAAAAGTTATTAAATGTGTGTCAATTATAACAGAGTTGTTGTCATTGTAATTATCGAAGAAACCGACTCTACCCAAAAAAATCACATTTACAACCATATTTTTGACAAATTTTCAATGAAAAGAAATTCTTTACAGTACATGCATAATATTCTGCACACGTTACTTTACAAAGTGCGTCCAAAACGCCACCATGTGCTTGTTCTACCAGCATTTGCAGTGTCATGACCATTATTAATATAAACATGTAATGTAACAGTAATTTATTTGCCATTCTAAAATATCTGAGCACAATGATTGTTCTTTATGTTTAATTTGAATTTATATGCTTACTTTCAAGAAACTGCACTATGTGGAAAAGCCCGTAGCAATAGTGATGAAAACAGAGATCTAGATTAATATATATGTTACAATCGAAATTAAAATTTCAATTTTCACTGGATCCTTGTCAGTGGAAATTGGAATTTTAAGTTCAACTAGTGGAGAGTAGAAGTTTAATCTCCACTAATGGGATTTTTAATTCCATTAGTAATATTACACTTTATGCTACTGGAAATGTCTGACCTTGTTTTAATTGAGTCACAGTTTGTGTGTTTATAGGCTGCGAGATGGAGAAAAAGACTGAGGACGGATCGATTATATTCAAGAAAAAATAAAAATGAAGTATGTAACAGACTTTTCTTCGGTTATATTGAGGTGCTTATTCATACACATAATTGTTTCTTTGCTTACCTGAGCAAGGCATAATCATAAAAATAAGCAATTAGAACATCGATACAAAATAAAACGTAAACGACGAAAATTTCCTTATTGTTGAAAATTTCATGCTTTTTTGCTTATTTTCAAAAAATGGGTATTTTTAAACTTTTTCACCAAAAACGGACTCCTTAAAACGTGAGATTGTATTTTTCCGATGCAGTTCGATGAGCTCTACCAGGATCTTATATCGGTCATAGCTAAGAGTGATCTCTATCTATAATACTGATTTTCTTCGGTGAAAGATGACTTAAGGGCACCGCCTCTTTCCTGGATTTCTCAAGGACGGCTCGCTTATCGACAAGCGAAAAAGATAATCATTAATTTGATAATGTCAGCCCTATAGAAACAATTTCGGTTTTGTTTCAACTTCAGACTGAAATACATTAGATCGTGTAAACGTATGCCTTCATACATTTCTACACTAAATACTATGACGATAATACGTATATAAGTACTAAGATTTATCAAAATTCGTGCGGCCCTTCATGTTGTAAAAATCGAAAACTTTCTCATGCTTCAGACCTGTTAAGTAGGAGGATAGAGGAAGACCACTTTGTTAATCTAGAAGCCTTTGACCTAGCTCTGTGGTGAGTAAAATTCCTTAAGTTTCCTTAGGTCCAAGGCATTTCGAGCCGCTCAAAGCCAGCCGGGCACTACGAGCCGCTCAAAGCCACTCGGAGTATTCCATGGAGTGCGGGGGGGGGGGGGGGGGGGGGGGGGGGGGGGGGGGGGGGGGGGGGGGGGGGGGGGGGGGGGGGGGGGGGGGGGGGGGGGGGGGGGGGGGGGGGGGGGGGGGGGGGGGGGGGGGGGGGGGGGG